GCTACAAACATACCACATTTTACAAATATACAGATGTTCAAAATGCCTTTGTATATTTGCAAGTATACAAAATGTATAAAACTAAAATATTTAGTTTGTATAAAAACTAAAATATTGAATTTAATTATTTAACTGGTTTTCCAAACTCCTTCCTTCTGCCACATATAAAAGCTATCAGGTAAATTAAAGTGTGACTGGTTGCAGAGAATGGTTATGTATGCAATTTAGGTATATGGATTTTTCAGATGTACAGGACATCTTTGGCTGGCCTAGCTAGAGCCCCAACTGTGCTACTATGGATAGCTCCTTTCTCCCCAACACCCCCTTCTCCTAAGATCTTTTTCATTTATCAATATTCATGAGAACTTTGTTTTGTAACTACAGAAGCCAGGATAATTGGGTTTGGGGGGATGGGAACTAGTGGCAGAGGAAGGAAAAGAGGAAGACAATGACAAGAGCAGGGATCCTGTCTATGTGTTCATCACTGTATCCCAGCTTCTGGAAAAAGTGCCAGGCACATAGTAGGCAATCAATAAAGATTTGTTTATTGAGCTGCTCATGTGACACCTATGTCTGCACCTGAATATTTATGGATGAAAAGATAAGGACCAGAAGTCAGAACTTTTTCCTGGGAGACTTTGACATGCCAGTAACGCATTCTCCTCACTTTTGCCTAAAGGCCTGGCAGCTTTGGCGGCTGAGAGAGGTAGCACCCTGGGTGGACGAGGCCGAGGACGTGCAAGAATGAGCAGTGCTGGGGCTGCTGCTTCTTCAACGGCTGCTCTTGGGCACTAGACACGGGAAAGTGGAAGGTGCCTCACAGTGGCTGCAGCTGACTGACTGGGCTGGGGACACACATGAGACACCCATTTGGGAACTCCCAGAAATAACAGGGACAATTTGAGGAGACAGGGTACGTAACTATTAGCTGGTGAGACTAGGTTTGAGTGTCACATGGTATCACAGAATTTAGACTTGGAGGGACCTTTAGAATCATCTCAACTAGATATTTCGTGCAGAAGTTTCTTTCTTCTTCATGGAAGAACAAAAATTATACGGCATAATTTAGTCTCCCCTTTCTCTCATATGCACGTCTTGGCATATAGAGTTTATCCAGACTGTTATAAATTCTTCTCATCCTCCACACCACAGCCATCCGTAGTGAGAATTGCCTTCTCTCAAACTTTCTGCCTCTTGCTGGAGGTAGGAGCTTTTGTTCCTCTCCACTTAGTATGTGTCTCACTGTTGACACTCCTGCCAAGTATCTTCTTGCAGTTTTAATTGCTAGTCTTAGTATGGGGCGGCCCTCCTTCCCCTTTAGAAGAAAAAAAGCATTCATTTAATTTCTAACCCAATTAAACCATGAGCTCATGAGCTCATGCTCTGTGGGCCACAGTGATGGGCTCCGAAGACACGAGCAGAATAGAAATTGCCAACATTAACATGATTTCCTCTTCCCCATCCAGGAATGACTAACACAGGGTGAGACTATGTTTGCGCCCCAGTAGCTTTCTTCAATTAATTAATCAGCAGGTACAAATTTAAAAAACAAGCTTCTGAAAATGTTGAGGACTTGCTGGCATTCTTGAGAACACGGGGGCAATAGCTCAGGAGTTTCAGAGGAGCTTAATACTTACAGCCCACTGATTATGATGCTAGCTCCTCCGAATTCCCTGACTCTGTAAATTTCATTCTGCTTCAAAGGGCTACATGGAAGATAAACTGGGCTTGGGAGTAAACAGATCAGAGTAGAAAGTTCCATCTGCTCTGCTTCTGGCAGACACAGAAGGAGAACCCTCTCTAAGCCTCAGATTTGGACAGCGGAATGGCTAGTGGTTACAGGGGCAGCTATGAGTAGCAGAGGAGCACTGGACCAGGAGCCAAGACATGGGGGCTGTTTAGGTGTTTCTAGCTGTAAGGGCTTGGGTCAGCCTCTTAACTCCATGGTATTCAGTTTCCTTTTCTGTAAAACAAGATGGTTATGCCAGAGGATCTCAGAGATCCCATCTTGCCTCTCTCTGAGTGTATCAAGAATTGCACTTAGTCACTTGCTGCACACTTGACATTTCTCTTTATCTAATATGCCTCCTACCACCACTTTCTGACAGTGTGGAACAATAACATTAGGAAAATATTTCTTTGTCCAGGCACAGTGGCTCATGCCTGTAATCTCAGCATTTTGGGAGGCCAAGGGGGGATGATTGATTGAGGCCAGGAGTTCAAGGCTGTGGTGAGCTATGATCACACCATTGCACCCCAGCCTGGGCAGCAGAGAGAGACCCCATCTCTAAAAAAAGGAAAGAAAAAAATGAAGGATGGTAGGAAGGGAGGAGGATGGAAGGAGAGAGAGGAAAGAAAGAATGAAAGAAAGAAGGAAGGAAGGAAGGGAAGGGAAGGGAAGGGAAGAAGATTTCTTTGAGTTGATTACCAGGACAGCTTATCCAGGTTTCTTGAGTCCAAGAAATCTGAGAGCCAAGGCTCTGACCAAGATTAGGAATAGAAAAACAGATATGCAGTATGGTGCAAGCAGGAAGAGAGAAGGTTAATTTGGGGAGTCAGGCAAGTGAACCAGAGATGTCAGTCTTGATGGCATGGGCAAAATAATATGATTGGAGAAAAATTTATCTCCCAACCTGATTAAAGCTGGAATGTTCCTCACTCCCTATCCAGAGACCAATAAGGAAAGGAACTAAAAAACAATAACCCTACCTTCAATAGGAGGATTAAAATAGGATGGGAGGCCAGAATTTTCTCAGACACAAGAATCAGGGCCTAGAAGATGGGCCATGGACTAAAGAAAGGGAATGACCCCTGGGAGGAACTATCTAACGCTGCAAACCTGTGACCAGATCCTCAGGTAATGTGAAAGCTCATTTGTGACTTTCCACAACTGTTTGCAGGTTGTTGTTTTTTTTTTTTTTTTTATCTCTCTCTCTCCCCCTCCCTCCAACTCTCTCTCTTTCTCACACGGACACATACACACACTCTCGCACAGCATGAATAAGATGTCCTTGAGCCAACTATATGCACAGTTTTGCAGTGGATAATATAGGAAGCATGTGCTGACAAAGAAGAAAAAAAAGTGATAATGTATTGTTTAATGATAAAATCTCCCCACTTTTTGCTATTGAGTGTTAAGAATAAAAGCTAAAGCAATAGTGGAGTATATTGTAGAAATATAATATTTATTTGAATATCAAAGGATGGAATCCATCGGACTAATTAATTAAATTAGTAAAGGAATTAAAAACTTATCTGTTTATGAGGATTGGTCCTGTCCTATGATGGGACAGGTGCCCTGTTCTCTAACAGAATATTTTGCTTTTCTTTTTTTCCTGGAACATCTCTGTAAATTCATTTCTCTGTGAATAAATCAAATAAATGCATCTCAAACATTTATACCTTCCACGTATGGCTTCATAAGGAAGAGGAAGGCTTGGAAAAATACTTACGTAAAGACCATTTCACTCTGAATTGCCACCAGCCAGTCTGAAATGCTGAGAAACAAATGTTCTCAATCATTTTGTATAGTTTGGTAGGCTTATTTTCTCACAGCTGTGTGAGATAAAAACAAGTAGCTGATTTTTTCCTGAGTAACCAAATTCCAATTGGAGAGCCTATACCAAAAAAGAATCTACTTAAATGCACATATTCTTATTTAGCATTCTTTGACATGTACAAATGAAAGACAATATTCTGTTATTTTGTCTTGCCCTCTCTCCTAGTAACCAACTCCCATATGAAATTATGACGATATATTGCTGAGTAGGGTTCCTTAAGTAAATCAAGAAATGCAAACAGCACAGTTCTCCTAAATACATTAACTTCTCTTTTTGCATAAGCATTTCCCATTCTAAGCCTCATCATTGCAGGTTCCTGTATTTCATTCCCTGGATATCTAGGGATGACTCTCTGGCTGGGAACAAGGTGTCTCAAAGTACTACAGAAATGGTAGTTGTGCCCTCTTGAATGAGCAGAATTTAGAAGGTCAGAAGAAAATAACCAAAGAGAGATCAAAGCAGCCTCTCTCTGTAGATTATACACATCAGGTCAGAGGGATTGGACTAGGCATCCCAAATGGAAGGAGGCAATGGGTGCCCACTCCCAGACTATTCCACTAATGCCTACAGGTATCCTAGCTTCTTCTATACAGAGAGCATACTTGGAGCACCAAACAGTAATGGACATCAAAATATCCTTGGGAAGACAGTAAAATGGAGAAGATTACATTTCCAGAATCGTAATACTCTGTAAAGTCCCTTGGGTTAAAGGAGTGAGTCTTTCAAGATTGCTAACAGCCTTCTAAGGGATGGGTCCAAAAAGCCCTACTGTAGGATTTTTGCTCTGCAAGAAGGATGGGCCCACTTGGGACAGAGTTAAATTGTTTGGGACAATTGAGAATGTATGCTCTCTGCCACCAGCTGCTTTCTTTTTCTGCCTTTCTCTGTGGAGCATCAATCCTCCTCTAAATAAATCATGAGCAAATATTTAACAAATACAGGTTTGAGGAATACCCAGATTATTAGCCTGCAGTCTGGTTGACCCTAGACAAGCCACTAGGTAGGGACTTTTCTGGGTGTATGCTCCCCTCCCCATCTCCTACTCACTACCCTCCTCCACAAAGGATTCCTGTGGTTCCAGATTTCATGACTGGTCACCCACATCCTCTCTTCTCAGTTTGGTAATCTTGGTCTAGACAGTCTATGAAAAACCACACTAGAAAATCCCATGAGAAGCCACAGCATGGCCCCCAGGCTCTGTGTTCATCTCAATAGGAAGACCAGATAGCAGAGTTCACAACAGAGAATAAAAAGTTGGAAATCAGGAGACCCAATTTCTAGTTCCAGTTAAGCCACTAACTAGCTAAGTTGTCTCAGCCGCCATGTCAGAGATGGGGCTCACCCAAAAGTCACGTGCTCCTCTACCTTTCCTGCCCCTCATTGCAGTTGGGGAGGGACGATGTGACTAGCATTTGCCAATAAAATATGAATGGAAGTCACCTGTGTCACCTTCAGGCTGAGGCAGTGAAAAGCCAATGTGCCTCTTCAGTCCCTCTCTTCCCCTCTTTTGTGAACTTGGAGGCCTCATGCTCCAGAAGGCATAGCTACAAGAGAAAAAAAGACCATTGAGTCACATCTACTTATGGCATAGAAATGCACTTTTACTATGGTAAGTTGTTAATACATTGCGATTTGCCTGGTGCAGCCAGCATTAAATCGCTAATACAGTCACTCGGCCTTTGTGTGAGCCAGCTCTTTCATTCAGCCCCAATGTTTTGAACCACATTGAAAGAAGATGAAATTGAAATCCCAGAGATAAAATTGCTTCAAAATAAAAAGTTATTATTACATAAATTACCTTGTCACCTCTTGGATGCAGGAGCCAGTCAGTTTAAATGGCCTTTATTAAATGTAAGGTGTGCTCACTACTGTGAGGGAGTCTCCAATGCCCCTGTGAAAGGAGACTTCTTTCTTTGCAAACCCACATTTCCTGCAGAGTCCAACCATGTGGGGCACAATAGATATTTCCCAAATAATCAAACAGGGCTACCAGAGGTAAGAACTTGATCTCCTTAGAGGCATGTTAGATTTAACATTAACTTTCTATAACTGGTCACCAGAAAGCCAACCAACAGATTCAGAGTACTCCTGGTGAAGAGTTTCCTAGTCCATCTATGGATGGTGATATTTTCAAACTGCTGGTTGGAAATAGATAACCATGAGTTTGGGGATTAAAGGAGTTTTTAAGAGGCCATCAAATTCAGTGCATATATACAGAAAGGTTTTAAAAAATTTTATGGAAGTATATCTGACAATTAAAAATTGTGTGTCTTTAAGGTGTGCCAATTGATAATTTGATGTACGTATACATTGTGAAATAATCACCAGAATCAAGCTAATTAACACATCCATCACCTCAGATAGTTACCATTTTCCTTTTTAGGGAGCTGGAGGTGAGAAGAATCAAGATCTACTCTCTTAGCAAATTTCAAGTATACAGTAAAGTATTGTTAACTATAGTATAGTAATTTTGTTGTACATTTAGATCTCCCAAACTTACCTTGCCAAACTGAAACTTTGCACCAATCTCTCTCTACTTCCACCCTCACTCCCCTGAGCCTCTGTGTATTTGTCTTTCTGTGTCTGGCTTATTTAATTTAGCATAACGTTCTCCAGGTTCATCCATGCTGTCGCAAGTGGCAGGATTTTTCTTCTTTCTTGGCTAAATAATATTTCATTGTGTATACACTTTCTTTTTTTTTCTTTTTATTTCATCATATTATGGGGGTACAAATATTGTTGAGGTTACATATATTGCCCTTGCCACCCCTCCCCCCTTCGCCGAGTCCGAGCTTCAAGCGTTGTATACTCTTTCTTTATTCACTCATCAAATATCTTGACTATTGTGAATCATGCTGAAATGAACATAGGGGTGCAGACATTCTGATGTCATTTCCTTTGTATGTATACCCAGAAGTGAGATTGCTGGATCATATGGCATTTCTATTTTTAACTCTTTGTGGAAGCTCCATACTGTTTTTGCATAATGACTATACCAATTTACATTCCCACCAACAGTGTACCTGGGTTCCCTTTTCTCAAGATTCTTGACAGCAATTGTTATCTTTTGTCTTTCTTATAAAAGCCTTTCTAACAGGTGAGAGAAGATATCTCACTGTGGTTTTGACTTGCATTTTCCTGGTGACAAGTGATGCTGTGTATCATTTCATATACCTGTTAGGCACTTGTATGTCTTCTTTTGAAAAATGTCTATTCAGGTCCTTTGCCCATTTTATAATTGGGATATTTGATTTTTCTGCTATTGAGTAATATAAGTTCCTTATATATTTTGGATAGTAACCCCTTATCCAACATAAGGGGTTAATATTTTCTGTTCCACTCTGTTGATTATTTCCTTTGCTTTGCAGAAGATTTTTGGTTTGATGCAATCCCATTTGTCCATTTTTGGTTTTGTTGCCTGTGCTTTTACTGTCATATCCAAAAAATTGTTGCCCAGACCAATGTCCAGAAGCTGTTTCCCTATGTTTTCTTCCTGTAGTCTTGTTTAAGTCTTTAATCCATTTTGAGTTGACTTTTGAATACAGTGTAACATAATGGTTCAAATTCATTCTTCTGTATGTGAATATACAGTTTTCCTAACATCATTTATTGAAGAAACTGTCCTTTCCCCATTTTGTCAAAGATCAGTTGACCATGGATGCATGGTTTTATTTCTGGGCTCTCTCTTCTGTTCCATTGGTCTGTCTGTTTTTGTGCCAGTATTATACTGTTTTGATTACTGTGACTTTGTAATATATTTTTAAATCAGGAAGTGTGATGGTTCCAGCTTTGTTTTTCTTGCTCAAGATTTCTTTGGCTATTTGGGGTCTTTTGTGCTTCTACATGAATTATAGGATTGTTTTTTCTATTTCTGTAAGAAATTATGTAGTAATTTTAATTCTTCCAGTGATGAAGAACTCATTTTTCTGTTAGAAATTCTATTCCATTTTTGGGTCATAAAAATCCCCCTTTTTTATTTTACTTAAGTAATTCTCCTGCACCTTCCATCTACTATTTAGGTGTTTGATATTTAAAGAATGTAAATAAGTCTACATTTTTTGCCACATGACAATTTTTCAAATACTTGAATACAATATTAATTCCCCCTTTAAACATCTATTTTGCATGTTAAATCCACTCAATTTCTTCTACAAGTTTGCAAATAACGTTTTATTTCCTGAATTTATTTATGCATTTTCTCTTTCCAAAGGTGATTTAAGATGACAAACAGAAGGATAAAGCAAATACAGCAATCTAAAGGGTTAATGCAGCTACTGAATTTGAATATCAGATATGGCTCTGAATTTCCTGGCAGCCAAAACAAAAAGGAAAATTGGATGATTTTATATAGCTCTCAATATCAGGAAGGGGGAGTATCAAAAAGTCGTTTCTAGTCTCTTTGCTGTCCTCATCATCTTGCTCTTAAAGCATCTGCCTTATCAATATCTTCTCTAAACTGCCATAAACAGAAATGAACACAATCCTTCACATATAGTTTGTCCAGAACAAGCTTATGAAGGAGTCAATTGGCCAGGCACGGTGGCTCACGCCTGTAATCCTAGCACTCTGGGAGGCCGAGGTGGGCAGATTGCTCGAGGTCAGGAGTTCAAAACCAGCCTGAGCAAGAGCGAGACCCCCATCTCTACTATAAATATACAGAAATTAATTGGCCAACTAATATATATAGAAAAAATTAGCTGGGCATGGTGGCGCATGCCTGTAGTCCCAGCTACTTGGGAGGCTGAGGCAGGAGGATTGCTTGAGCCCAGGAGTTTGAGGTTGCTGTGAGCTAGGCTGATGCCACGGCACTCACTCTAGCCTGGGCAACAAAGCGAGACTGTCTCAAAAAATGAAATAAAATAAAAAAAAGAGTCAATTTGCCTTAAATAAAAAGCTACTTCTTAAATATTTTTGTGAACCAAGAATGCAGAAGATTTACATATATTATCTGTAATTCTTATAACAGCCTTGCAAAATGGGTAAAAAAAAAAAAAAACCTCCATTTCACAGATAAGTAAATCAAGAAATGAAGTAACTTATCCAAGGTCACATAATTTGTACAGACCTAGGTCTGTCTGGTTCCAAATCTTGTATTCTTTTCATTTGTTAACAACATATTCTCAACCAAAAGGATTATATAATTTCTAAAAGTGCCTTGCTAAAAACTACAGGCACGTTGAGTCAGAGGGAGAATATGGTTGAGTGTTTTGGATCTGACATTTTCTTAAAAACCAACACTGGTAACTGTTTTCATCTTCTTCCGGCATCTCAAGGAATCACAGAAACACATGTGAGTGGGGGTGGTTTTGTTTTGTACACTGCAGCAATTACTCATTTTTTGGGACACACTCAATGCAAACTGGATTTGGATCCACTGTGCTTTGTCAAACACAGGTGCTTATGCATTGATTCAAATTTGGGTTGGCAGAGTAAATGTTCAATATGGAGGTTTACATCTCTAAAAATGCATGGAAAATATATGAAGAACTATAATACACAAGAGCCGAATGGGGACATTTTCTCTATATTGACTAGAGACCTCTCAAATCAAGCATTTTCTCTCCATTTCCAGGGCCACTGACTTAGACCAGATCCTTATAATCTCTCATCTTTAATGAGAAAATAGTTTCCTAACTATTTTCCCTGCCTCAGTCCTCCACCTTAATCTGTTTCATTTTCCACATCCTTGCCAAAGATATATCCTTAAAAATAATTCTATCATGTGTCTTTCCTGTTTACAAACCACTGTCAATTTCTATTGCTCAAAAGATCAAATTAAAATCCTGTAACATGGCACACAAGACACTTTATTATCTGGTATTAATTTATCACTCCACTCCCATTTCCTTTCCTTTCTCCCTAATTCCTCAAGCTCTAACCACACTGAACTTCTCAACATTCCACACTGTGCCTTTTCATATCTTTGTGTCTCTGCACAAGCTGTTTGCTCTTCCTAGAAATTCCCTTCCCACCTCCCTCACCTGGAAAACTTCTACTCATTTTTTAAGACTCAGCTTAAAAGTTGCCTCCTCAGGCCGGGCGCTGTGGCTCACGCCTGTAATCCTAGCTCTTGGGAGGCCGAGGCGGGCGGATTGCTCAAGGTCAGGAGTTCAAAACCAGCCCTCAAGGTCAGGAGTTCAAAACCAGCCTGAGCAAGAGCGAGACCCCGTCTCTACTATAAATAGAAAGAAATTAATTGGCCAACTGATATATATATAAAAAAAATTAGCCGGGCATAGTGGCGCATGCCTGTAGTCCCAGCTACTCGGGAGGCTGAGGCAGAAGGATCGCTCGAGCCCAGGAGTGTGAGGTTGCTGTGAGCTAGGCTGACGCCACGGCACTCACTCTAGCCTGGACAACAAAGCGAGACTCTGTCTCAAAAAAAAAAAAAAAAAAAAAGTTGCCTCCTCTATTAAGATTTCTGTCTTTCAGTCAAAATTAGTTGCTCCCTCTTCTGGGATCCCATAGTCCTATCTCTAGTAAACCATTTATGATTCATTTTACATTTCTTTCTATCTCTACATGACTCCTTTAAAGCAGTAAC